GAGGCGGGGAGAATGCGGGGAAGAGGCAGAGCGGGAGGGGGGCCAAGTTGCTGCACCATGGGCCTCTGGGTTGTACTTGCTCCCTGGGCTAAAAGTTGCCAGTCAGCCCCTGGTACTGGAGCCCCAGTAGCGGTCCTATTAAACATCTTGATGTTAATAATTAAAGTAGTTTTGCTGAAATAAAATACAGTTTAAGAATTTGAATTCTGAAATATTACTCATGCTATGAAGTATAACTAAGAGCTTAGCCTAGCTGAATGCAAATAGATATAACAAGTTATACAAGTCAGTGTGATGGACTGATTGACAGCCAGAGTTCATAGTGGGGTTGTCTTGTGATGCTGTGATGTCTGTGTGTCAGAGGTCTTGTCAGAATTTAGAGGCTGCAAACAGAAAGTGTATATCAAGAAGCGCCAGAGGCAATCATTCCTTGTCCCTCATAGGGAACTGATGTTTAGGCATATATGCAGGGCACAGCCCCAATACAGTCAGGGAGACTGAGATAACTGAAAGACAGAACCAGAAGGGGCTCCTTTCCTGGTGCAGATCAATGTATTCAGAAATTGGTACAATTTAAACTAACAGGTACTCACAAGAGTAGAATATCAACAAGCGGTAGGACAGTAGGGAGGCCGCAACAATAAAGACATCCGTGTGATACGTCCTATGTACAAATCAGTAAAAGTGTTGATGCGTTTCCGGGGCACGCCCCCTTCGTCAGAACATGTAGCCTGTTAGTTTACATTGTACCAATTGCTGAATAAATTGATCTGCACCAGGAAAGGCGCCCCTTCTTGTTTTGTCTTTCAGAATTTAGAGGCTGTGAGAGGTTCCACTTTGCAGTCTTAGGCTGGGTTCACACCTAGGCGTATCGAATATGCGCTTTTGTCGCGCATTTCATGTCGCGATTCGCGGTAAAAAAAACCTGCGCAACAAACGTGCGTTTCCAAGGGCTACTTGGCTGTATCCCAATGGACACGCAACAAAAACGCCCCAAAGAAGTTCCTGTACTTCTTTGGGCGTAGGGCGTTTTGTAGCACGTTCGTACGGCCTGTAATACGCCAAGGTGTGAACCATACCCATAGGAAATAATAGGATTTTGGTGTTTGAGCATTTTGCAGAGCGTAGGAACGCGCTACAAAACGCCCAGGTGTGAACCGGGCCTAAGGTAGACTCTGGTTAAAATGAATAATATGGGAAACCTGTTATGTGAGAAATATGGACCTGATCTCTTTTTTAAAAAGCTATCTGCCTGGCTGATATGTTGAAATGTGGCCCGTATGCAGATCGGAAGTTCTGAACTTATTGCTGTATGCCTGTTTCAGTGGTGTACAATGTATTGCAGCCAGAGACAGTCATTAAAATAGTATTTTCAGATGTTCAGCAATGACAGCTCTGTATTTCTTTTATTACAAGCTTTTGCGAGAAGTGCAATTTCACTGTGATTTATGTATTTGTACTTGTCCCAGCAGCCTCTGAAAAATGCCAAAATGATGGGATACCTTTAGATGTCTTTTTTGAAGAAACATAGCCTGCAACCTCCCAGAGCTTTGTTTACATCCGGCTCTATTTCTGTATACCACTAGAGGGCACTGTGGGCAGAGAGGAGACCTATACTACAGTGGTTGGGAGTGATAGAAAACACAACTCTAGGAGGCTGTAGGCCAAGAGTGGGCAAACTCTGGTCCTCAAGTTGTGGTGAAACTACAAATCCCATGATGCACCTGTCTCTGGGAGTCATGCCTGTGGCTGTGATAATTTTGCAATGCCTCATGGGATTTGTAGTTACACAAAAGCTGGAGGGCCTGAGTCGGCTCACCCCTGCCGTATAGGCCATATTGCTAGAAACTGTAATTAATAAAAAAGTGGAGTTATGATTTCAGTTAAAGTGAAATATTATTTACAATAGTGTTTTAGTTGGTGTGAACATAATGTTAAGTCTCCTCTATATAAGAGAACCAATTTTCAAAATACATATAATAACATCAAAGGAAATTAGAAAAATTGGGTCATGCCAGTTTAAAGTTCTATCGATATAGTAAAAATTGTATTAGTCTGTTAGGTAACTGAAGCTTGGGCACATCTTGTAGACAGGAAGTACCCAACAACTTTCGAATGCTGAGCCTGCACAGCTGAGCCAAGGAAGCTGGACCTAGAAATGAAAATCAACAATTGCAAATTATTAGAAGGGAGAGAAAAGTTTTTCACTTTCATGTTTTTCACTAAAATTATGAGAAACTAAGAAGGACACACCGAACCGAAGAGAGAAAATTAGGGAACATGAGAAAGGTGGACTTGGGCTTTTAAGCCCAATTCCCGTCAAAACTTTTATATGTCTTTGTCCTTGTTGGTAATGCCCCATCTCATCCTGTTTCATGGACACCATCACACCCTAAAACATGGGGTGACACTAAAACAAAAAGTGGGGTGATATCTCCCCGGGGGGAATCAGACAGTAATAAAAAATTAGAACAGTTGTCCATTTCTATTGTTGTGTCTCCAGTGTGTCAGGAAATGACGGTGTCATCAGAAGAGGAAGAGGGAAGAGACAAGAAATCTTCCCCAACAAGGGTAAAAGCAGCAATAAAAAGCTGGTAGAGGTTAGGGTTAGGTCTGACCCTTCCGCACTTAATCCAAATCTTCAAATTACGTATGTTACGGTTTTAATACCAATACCTTCTGCAATGAGCAATGCCCTTTCTACTGCACTCCTGGGTGCTGCCAGTTCTATGGGGTATTTTCCTTCCATGTTTTTACTCTTCACATTGGCCCCATAATCAATAAGCAGCTTGACAATCTCTTCACTTGATTTGCGAGCAGCAGCATGGAGAGGTGTATCCAGGAGTTTCCCATGGGTCACATCTGCACCTAGACAGAGAATCAAACATTTTATTAATAAATGTATGTCTCATGTTTGCCTGACCATACCATTGTTAAGTTGAGTCAAGATTAGGAGTGAGCTGCCCCTATGGCCAGATCTTAAAGATTGATTGTTTAAATGTAAGTAGCATGCCTATTCCTATATAAATCTAGGTGTGTTTTGTGTATTTCTTCCAGATCTGTGAATTGATCCAACTAGGACCTTTTCCTCTGTGCAAGAACTTCCTCTAATAAAGACCAGTCATTGCTGCTTTCTCTCATTGGGCAGGGTGACTGGCCTTGTCTCCACAAGGCCTTTTATTTCCCTTGCACATGATTGGTTATTCAAAGAGAGCACATCTTCCCCCTTTTTTTCTAAGCTTAGTAAACATATACTTTCCTAAGTGAACAGTCTCTATTCCTAGCAAATAAAGTATTGACTCTCAATCATGCAAGAGCCATCATGCATCATATATGCACCTTGTTGAATCTATGCCACAAAGAATTAAGACAAAAGTAGGTCCCACCTGGTACTACCAATACAGTCCCCCCCGCCTCGGTGTACCTAATAAAGTGGCCTGTGAGTGTGTATAGTCATGATGGTAGATGCACATTTTCATTTAAGAATTTTGGAGGGGGTGATCTCTTTAAAGTGATCTAAACTGATCTATGTATAGGTAGATTAAACCTTGCAAGGGTTGATCCAACATGTATAAGCTGTAGCTATACAGAAGAAAGACCTGACCACTTCCAGATGGTCACAACATCAAACCCTACACACCCCAAGCTTAATGTATGGCACTGTTTAAATTCTGCACAATCAACACTGTAAAAAAGAGGGCAGTAAAACAAAGAGGAAAATACTAAAACTCTAAAAACTCAGTGTACTGGAGTGTCTTCAATGATTACCACTGTCTGTGACTACTACACAACTGTGCTGACATCACTTATACAGGACAGTGATCACACAAGCTCAGAGTTACCCTCATAAATAATAATAGCATTACCCAATTCAAGAAGCTTTCTAACACAACTAGCTTTCTGGTGGGCACAGGCTAAATACAGTGGAGTACCACTATTCTGAAGTTCTTTATCAATGTCTGCTCCATAAGAGATTAACATTTCTGCACATTCCCTGTGACCTGGGGACAAAGAAAGAAAAGATAAGCAGAAAGTATGAAATACTTAATTAAGCATTCTTTTCTAAGATGGGCACATATCTCTATTCTCATCAGTCTTGGTTGATGTCTGTCCATTATGGCCAGATCTCTCACTTTACTTGAGCTTTCTTTTTTAAGATGGGCACATATCTCCATTCTGATCAGTCTTGGGAGATGTCTGTCCATTATGGCCGGATCTCTTACTGACAACAATGGATGGTGACAAATCGACTCCTCTTTATTAGACCCACTGAATTTCCCCCTCTCACTCACTTGAATAATGGACACAGCACATAAAGTGGATGTAGTGTAGTAAAAATCTCTGCATACAATAACAAACATTTAGAATCATTTATTATTGGTCCCTTAACCCTTACATGACCTACTTGTCCCAAGACATTAAATGTGTCACCCTGCTTGTGTTTATTAGGCCATGTATAAGTATACACATTTCATTGCCTATTCAGCTCACTACCACCCACAGCATGGGATATTGATTTGTGGTGACCTGTGGCTCCGTCTACAGTAGCCTTTCTCCACCTTTTTAACATGGATGAACCTTTCAGGTCTCAGGAAACCCCTGCTCATAATTACAGTATTTGTAGATTATTGTATATTAGCATAAATAGTAAGTTGAGATACAACAATACATAAAAGTACAAGGAAAGTGTAGGAAGACATAGTATATTTGACACCCAGGTCTTCTGCTGATATAGTAATTATTAGCAAAGTCTCAGAGTCCTAAAAGTGATATCAAGGGTACCTCCATGTTTGAAAGGTTGAGAAAGTCTACTTTGGTGGAATCCAAAGGTGCTTTGGAAGTGGAACCCTGGTCTACAGTGACAGAATGGACCTGAAAGTAAGGAAGGTACTAGGCCATACCAGTATTTCAACTGCTCCTTACTATACCATTGTAGCTACACACACTTTTCATCCTGTGGTAGACCCACTACGGGTTACTACTACAACAATGGTAAAAAGAGGTGAAGTACTGTGGCTAACAGGATTTGTATGAGAACAATTGTGCTTTTGCTTTGCTCTTGATAGCCCTGCTATGCTAAGTTCAGGACTGCGTGGATCACAGTTGTCGGCCTCCAGCATATAACTGGAGTTTGGACACTTATAGGACAACCTTGGCCTGTGAAACTTATTCGAAATTTTATGTGAAATAGCAGCACTTTGTTTTCCACTTGTAAAGGACAAAGAGATTGCCTAGCTCTTTAACACATGTGACAGTTCAATATGTTACCTCTTATGATTGCTTCATGAAGAGGAAAAGCCAGTTGAGTCTCCAGCTCTGGGTTAGCGCCATAGTCCAGTAACATACTGACACAAGCAATACTCCCACTTCTACATGCATTATACAGAGGGGTAATCCCATCCACTGTCACCACATTCACCTGGGAAGAAGATAATACACAGTCAGGATTATGTATGAATTCTATGTCTGCCTTATTGTCTCCTTCTAAGGTGCAATGTTACAATATTAACGCATAACATTAGCACCTGTGATTGATATTTCAATTGCACTTTTGGCCTTATGTCTGGACGTAAATGAAGAAATACACTGCCTATAGTAACTAATTAGCTTCTCCTTTCATTTAATAATATGCCATTGAAACAAAGGAGTATAGTATGTTACAGTGGACAACACAGACAGTTCTCGTTTCTGAATTTCCGAGATTGTTAAGCATCAAACATAATCATGCCACAAGCATGTAATTTTTCTTGTATTGTAGGCATATACTGTATATCTGTGCAGACATGGAGAACAACAGACTACTGAATGAACATTTCCAACTGAACTGATAGGCCTTCTTCTACAATGTGGATCCCCAGGAGACACTTTTAAGCATGCACATGACCTATAGATATCCTTAGAGGTATAAGAAAATGTTAAAGGGCCTTGAAGCAAAATTTTCAATTGGGGAAATAACAGATAAGACATAGGCAAAAAATCATCAAGTGAAAGAGATGCATTGTTTTAATAGGAACGTAGATATGGCAACGAGTGGGACATGTTTGGGCACCCTGACCATATTGGCCCCTGGATGAGTCATGGGTTGGCCCCCCAACTTCATGGGCCCCTTAAGAGTAGACATAGATTTACCAAATGGGCTCAGAACCAGCAGCTAACTGAACCAGGGTTGCTAACTGAACCAAAATATTAATTGTTCGATAACATGCATCTGCTGTCTGTGGGTAACTGCAAAATGCTTAGATTACATTCCGCAGCAACGTTCTTAACATAAATGCCAGTAATGCTATTCTAATAATTTCTGGAACAGAAGTCACTTCAGGACACAAAGACTTCTAGCAGACTGGATTTTCCTATATCCATCCATGTCACCAAAATAAGCAATCATTTTCATTGCACCACCTGCAAGTAATCAAATTAATCCTTTAAGTCTCACCAGAGGTGACTGGAGCTTTGCAGTCACACAATACATTCATCTGCAGTACACAAGTAGACAGGACTACTTGCTGCCATCTAGTGGAGAACTTTAATATTACACCTTCACACAGAACAAACCATGCTATCTTAAAGGAGAATTATGAGGCGAGTGATTTTCACTCAGCCTCAAAATCTGGCCCGACCTATGACAATGAAACTGTCACAGGTCGGCTCAGTAGACCGGGAAGTGAGCGAACACATACTGTCGCTCGCTCACTTCTCGATCTATCCGTGCAGAGAGCTGTGACTGTCACTCACGGCTCCCTGCAGGGATCCCCCCCCCCTCCCCTGTCCGATCCTCCAGCGCTGACTGGCGGAACGGTCGGGGGAGGGTTCAGTTACAGCTGGGGCTGCCTCTAGATAGGCAGAGCCAGCTGTCACTCACGCAGCTGGGTGGATCCAGATAGCATTGTCGGGCTCCGTTCCGGCGTCTCAGTATACTGAGCTTTGGGTGACGGGAGTACTTTAGTATGTGTCCTTCCGTTACCCTTAGGAGAACTATGGGGAAAAGCACTGACCCCATAGTTCTCCTTTAAAGGATATTTCTACATTTGCAGCCAACTTTGAGAAATCCCCACTACATGTTTGTTATATGTTCCCATTCACACAGCATACCTACAAATAATTAAAAAAATGATTTCTTACATTTTTTAGCAGTTTTTGGAGCACAATTATGCATAGAACTCTACAGGCAGCTTGTAGTTGTTAGGATTGATGCATGTGAGCTGACAAGGGACTGAATGAAGGGACTGAATGAAGGGACTGAATGAAGGACAGTTTTTTAAAGGTTTATTAAAATACGATGGGGGAAATTTATCAAAACTGAAGCACACAGAAGCTGGAGCAGTTGCCCATGGCATCTCTCTTCAGTTTGCTCAGGTACGATTTTAAAATGAGACAGAGAGGCTGATTGGCTGCAGTGCAGATTTGCTCCAGTTTTGATAAATTTAATTCCGTTGAATGTCTTCAGGTCTGTATCCCAGGCAATGAGAACTAAGTAGGATTTTTCAGTGCTGAAGTTTGCAGACACATCATAAAAAAGATAAGCTGACATTTTTAAATATTTTATGTGAATGAGAGCATGTAACAAATGTTAAGTAGATGTTATCCCAATTTGGCTGCAAAAGTGGAAATACAGGGAACATGTGGATCATAGAAATATGGAAACCACCAGTCAGTCTGACTAGTTTTTAAAGGCGCCGGCTCCAAGACCATCCTTCTAACACACTAACAATAATGAAAACTCTTTAAGCACACCAAAGAAAAGAACAGGCAAATGATATAGTGATCAGAGACTTACGCAAGCTCCATTCTCTAACAGCACTTTGGCACAAGAGACATGGCCACCGAGGCACGCTTCATGAACAGGAGAAACTCTGTCTATGGTCAAAAGGTTCACATTAAAACCCTAGAGTGAAAATATGCAGACTGTTACTAAGAATTCTTCTATCAAAGATAACAGGCCAATCACTGCATAAGATACTGTAAAACATGGTCTTTAATTAAAGCTATTGGGCACTGAGGTATTAGCAGGGTTAGCAGAGGGAGTACCAGCTAAAGGACCCCTAGTTCTTCTCGAGGCACTCAAACCCTGAATCAAGAATTTTGTTTCAGTAATTGTACAAGCTGAAGCTTCCCCATAATGTGGGTTATATTAGAGAGGAGGTTTTTATGCTTACCGGCAGGGCCAGTGTTGCCACTAAGCAACCCCGCAGCTGCCTGGGGAGCACTGCTGCCTAAGGTGCAGCCTTTCGCAGCCTCCCACATCCCCCCCCCCCCCCCCTCCAACACACACAGCACCCCCCTCATTTATTTAAAATTGCAAACGCCAATAGCAGGCTGGCTATTGCACCTGCCCACTGAGCAGAGGGGTGGAACTGAGAGACAACTTTCTCTCTCAGGTCCCCTCCTCTGCTCAGTGGGTGGGGTTATAATAGCTATTGGATATTTTAAATTAAAATAGCCAATAGCAGTCAGGCTATTGCTCCTGGCTGCTTACATCCACCTGTTGCCTGTGGAAGGAGAATGGGGCCCCACGGGAGGGGGCATTGCGCTGCACGAGGGGGCTTGGGGGTGCAAGTAGCTGGTCTTGCCTTGGGCGCAAAATAATCTAGCACCAGCCCTGCTTACCAGTTACATAATGCTTACTTTACTTAGCTGTAACACACATTTTTTTTACACAACCATCTTTAATTTCAGCTATGTTACTGCAATTTTTAACTCTTAGCCCTCGTTCACACCTGACCGTTTGGTAGCGCGTTCTATGCTCGACGAACGCTCTACAAAACGGTCAAAAATATAAATTGCATTGTAGTCAATGGTCTCGTTCCCACCTTGCCGTATTTCCGCCCATCCCTAACGCCCTACAAAACGGCCCACGCCTGAAAAGGTCCTGGTACTACTTTGGGCCGTTTTGTAGGGCGTTTTCCATTGGGATACAGCCAAGTAGCCTTCGGAATCGCGCGACGGTCGCGCAACTTTTTTACCGCGAATCGCGGTAAAAAAAACGCGCGACAGACGCGCATATTACAATACGCCTAGGTGTGAACGAGGGCTTACTGGCTCTGATTTCTCCTATGCTTGGTTCAGATCTCCTTTAAAGGCTAGGTTCACCTTGCTGACCATGTTTCATGTTACAACTACACCCAACACGGTGTAACATGATCTGTGCTATTAGCGTTTTCAGATAAAGAAGTCTTCCATGAAATGCAGCATCATGTAGTGGAGATCGGTCTGCCCAAGACCCTTAGAAACAAGGGAATATTATTCTTTAGTGAAACTCACATCCTGATCTTTATAGCCATATAGGACATTGCATTGTACATTGGCCAGTTTATTTACTATCCTACAGAAAAATCTGGGAGCATATATCCAAGACCACAGGGAAGAAGATATGCATTGAAATGTAACTCTTTTGATTAAGATTCAAGTCCTCGGTCAGTAAACCTCTGGTGATGCCCGACAACATGTTAACACACACACACACATACAAAAACAAAAAAGATTTTATTGCATTTAAATATTTTATGGTCATGAATGCAGTTATAATTTAAATCACCATGGGTCACATTTTTCAAAGTGTCTGAACAAAGAACTGTTTGTGTTGCCACACAGCATCCAACTCTGCTCTACAGAAAACTATTTTTGAATCTCACGAGTTCCTATAACGAAACACAAACAGTGTATAGTTCAGACACTTCCAACATATGGGGCCATAAGTATTCAACTCTTTTACAGATGTAGCACCCCCCTGACCTCTAGGTGCATACAGTATGGAGTACTACAGAGACAGGATGGACTGACATTTCACCTCAGGCATCGCCCTCACCCTGCAGCGCCGTAAGGCGGCCGCCTGACTTGCCTTGCGGTAGCGCCGGGCCTGACCTCAGGGATGAGTCCTTAACCAGTCAAGTAACATTGGGCGCCAGTCACCTTGAGGTTTTTATAATATTTTGTTCCATAAGTGACAAAAATGGGAGACAGGGTAAAGGACTACAGCCATCTAGGACAGTACAGAACTCCAGACTCGCTGACCATTTCCCAGCTTCACAGTGCAGAGGGCCTTTAAATGATTCCAGTAACCCAGACATCTCAACTATCCCCAATGTTCCGGGAGTCTCCCGCTAAAAGATAGCGGCTCCCGGACACCCGGGAAAGAAACATTTTCTCTCAGAAAGGTTTACTCTGCTTATCTAGGAGAGTAAACCTTTCCCTGCTGTTTGTTTCAGAAAAAGAAAAGGCATGGGAACGAATAGCTAGATTGCTATTGGCTATTTCAATTTGCAATAGCCAATAGCAGACTAGCTATTGCACCCGCTCACTACTGCTGTCAATCAGCAGAGGTGGACCTGAAGTTCTCCATCAGGTCCTCCTTTGCAGACTGACAGCAGCAGAGGGTGGGTGTCATAGCCAGCTTGCTATTGGCTATTGCAAATTGAAATAGCCAATAGCAATCTAGCTATTCATTCCTATGCTATTTTTATTTTCTCTTATTCTGACGTCAGCAGCTGTCAGAATACTAAAAACAAAACAGGGGGGTTTGACGGAGGCCACCTCCCTGAAATGAGAAGGGCACCTCCCTGAAATGACTTATTTCAGGTTGGAATCCCTGAGTAACCTTGTGTATTGTAGAACCTTTGCTAGTAAGCAGATCCAGCATAGAATTCCCTAGGTGTGACACCAGACTTCTCTCTGAGGTCCAAGCCTATGCTGGCTTCTCAGGCACCTCCAGCAGAAGACGTCCCTCCTTGGTTCTCCAGTCCAGAAACAGACCCCGACAGGCTGCTGGCCTGGTCAGACAACATTATATGTACTCCCATGTTTGACACCAGGGGAAATGTGTGGAATATGGAGTTTGCTTTTTTGTGGACACATTTGTATTTTATGCTCTTCCTTTTGAATTGTTTATATGCTAAGATGTGTACAGGGTTTGTTACCGTGCCTTATCTCAAATATCAAATTGTACCGTACAGTCTTTTCTTTAATGCTTCCTTTGGATATGCAAAACTTTAAAAGAAAACTCTTTATAAAAGAAAAGCCAGGTTAAATTAAAAGTATGGTTTAAAAAAAAAACACTTCTGGGTTTAACCAATAATTTTTGGCACATAAATTCTTATTTTCTCTGCATAACTGGGGCATTGTAAGGGTGTGTCCATTGCCTAAATACATTGTGCTAAAAGGTGTCCCTTTTTCTCATCTCAGAAAGTTGGGAGGTATGCCGGTTTACAAGTTTACAGTGCTCAAGTAATTATAGACTGAGACCTGTGACCATGTACTTCATGTAATATTTCTAAAACCTGAATTGGGGTGTTATACTTAATTATAATAATTTGGTCTTTATCTGCTGATTTAGGTATGTGCCCTCCAAGCCCACTCCAAATGTGGCATCAAACCTCAGATTATATGGTTTTTTTGCAGGAAAGGACCCCAGACATCATTAGAATGATTATAATAATTCCTGTGACTAACTTTAAATGATTTCGTCCAATGATAAGCAACTGGATTTGCAGTTTAACTGCTCTGTATATGTAATTCTACTGAGAGTAAAAGATTATTGAAAGTAAAAGAACATACCTCCCTGAAAGGTGTGACAGATGTGGTTGCCATACAGTGCATTTCTTAATGCCCATGGTAGTGAAGTTAGTCCGTGCCTTTCTGAGGCCTCTGTAACTGCATGCAGAACCATTTCTGTGTATGCAGACATTACAGCGCATATGCTGCCACAGGCTCAGTGTCATGGTTAAACAACATCACGTGACCAGGATCAGTGGTCACCTTACAGCAGTGCCGGGATCAAATCTCCAAACCAGAGCCAGAAGCAGCAACACTGTAAACACTGTTGAGACTTAGGAATCACTCTGCAGGATTTCAGATTACTATGCAAACGCTGATTAGACTAGTTACTGTTCTATCAATGTTATGCATTACATTTATGATTGCATATATACACTCATACAGATCCTGCTGCACTTTTATAAGTGTAAAATATTGTAAAATTGATTAAAGAAATCAGCATAAAGAGTAAGACCTCCCCATAACAGATGAAACAGCAGAGCACAGTTGTTTTTTGTTGAAGCCCGCAGTGGGTGCGTACAAACTAAACATCCTAGTGAACCAAAGAACTATATGTGAACACACACACAAAAAAGTGCAGTAGGATGTATCTCATGGTCCCTCTCCTAAAGAGATAGGGTCCTTTACCTGCACACCCTGGGGTGCATTACTTCTGACATGGGCAAAGCACTCTTGTCCACCTAACTGACGCCAAGCAGACCCATTCCTCTGGGTCAGTACTAGCTTAGGTGCTCTCCTAAAGAGAGACCCCCAGTTCAAGGGAGGAAGGAACCCGATGGCCACACATCCTACCACTAGACCTCGCAGTCCAGAAGACCCACACCCTCCATCCTAATGGAGTGAAAAATACACGTAAAAAAAGTGAAGTGCACAAACACTGGAGAAAAATAAATAAGTGTCAATGTGCGAGACAATGACGAGGTCTTGTGGCCTGGCATAAAAAATTACCCCTGGTCTTAGCCAAAAGGCCTAGCCCAAGAGGCATGGTGCAGAAATAGCAGATGGTTTTGTGGCCTGAGTGCCTTTCACACAAGGGGGTGGGTGGTTCCAAACCCATAGTGTTACTCAAACACCTCAGGGCATCACTCCCATTCCATGAGCAGATCAGATAGACCCAAATCAGGAGGCACTGGGAGCCTCCAGATCCCTGACACTATGAAAGTACTCACGACTCCCACTCTTAGATGTGTGGACCCTCAATTCAGTTTCCTTCCCATGGCCAGAACCCTTTGGACCCCCCATCATGTCAGACAGGGTACTCTGCAGCCAGCCATTCCTACCATAAGCCTAGAACAGCAGCACATTTTCCCTCCTGAACACCGATAAGAACAGATACTACACTTGATCTTAGTGATCTTAGCGAAAAGGCCAAGAAGCTAGCAGAGCACAGAATATAATTTTTGTTTGGACTGGCAATCATCTGCTGTGACAGCCAGGCCCATTACAAATGTTCTTAACACATACAGAGTGCTTCCTGTTAGTTAAGTTAGTTCCAAAATACTCCATGTAATAGGATTTGCAGAATACTGCGTACATGTGTAAGCGCGCTCAAGATTAAAAATACCATATTTAACCCAAGAAGGAAATTACATATTTGGTTAACAATGAAGAAGTTACCAATACATGATTTCCATGATACAACTTCCACTGAGTCATTAACTTAATCTGCATATCACATCATTCTGGTACCTAAGGTTTGATAGATGCTGGAGAGGTGAAGCTGAACTCCAGGCCTTTATATAAAGCAACAATGGAAGTAGGCTTTAGTTATAAAAATCATTAAGGGCCCATTTACATTTGTGCAGTGCTTTTATGTCCGTTGTTAACATGCATTGCGTTAAGGCAACCCATTGAAATCAATTGAGCTGCCAATGCACCAAAACGTTCCAAAAATTGGACATGCCACAAAATAATTCATGCAATGCACTCCAACATTCCAATGGCGCATTCCTGTGCACTGAAATGCATGTGCGTTGCCTTAGTGCATTGGGGTGCGATTCCAAATGAGTGGCACCACAGCGCATGTAATGCATGACACATGTAGTGGAAAAGCGTGTGTTAACGCACACGTTCCCAAAAAGCATAGATGTAAATGGACCATATTTACTCCAACAAGGTATACCAATCTATCCATGCTTCCTTTTTGAAAAGCTCATTAGCCTGTTGATGCTCCTTTACTGTCAAGTCACAGATGAGAGCAGTGAGATGACCAGGCTGTATTGTTTAACTACACCAGAGAAAGTTCAGGTCCCCAGGAAGATGGTGCTGCCTGGCAGAGCTGTGTATATCTGAAGAATATAAAGACAAAAATACAAATCATGTAGCAAGTAAGACAGCTACTGTATATGAATTTCAACGGTATATTTAGCTGTATGTCTGGAGTTCAGCTTTCAATAACAGTTTCTTATGGTTCCCAAGCCATGTTCTCCTCTATGTGTTATATCACATGAGTTACATGGCACCAGAACAGAACTTTGTTTTCAGTGGTGCCTGTTTATATACCTGCTCAGTGCCTTCAGAAAAAAAATTGTTTTTACACAACAATGCACATTAAAGGCCCATTGAACTATGGATATAAAGATGCATGTAAAATGCACAGCAGATGTGTGTCTCAATGTACGATAATGCGCATTCATAGGTATGATTGATGAATTTGTCATTAACACTACAGATTTTCATTTTCATTGAATTTTATAAGGAAATGTATTTCATTTTGTAACAGAATAAGTGAGATTCCAGAGTTGTCAGGAGGCATGATGGGAACCTTCCAACATACAAAACCCCGAAGATTCTTATCACTGAACTATTCATTTTGGGTGGACTGACTCATGGAGAACATGGCACATTCAGAAAAACTCATACAGCCCTAAAACAGGAATATGTTTAGTGCAATGCCTTTCTTTCTACATAGCATTCATTTATTTAATTGTAAAAAATAAAAAGGGCTTACCTTTAATTTGACTATTTTGTTAGGTAAATAATCAATAGCAGGGGGTACAAGGGACCCATGAGGCCATTTTTAGTATGAGTTTTAGAAGTATCTCCTTGCATCTGAGTTTTTATTACTGGGGGGAAGAGTGTTCCAAACTGCCATAGTGACAAAAGTCAACTTTCATTATTTAGTTATCATATAAAGTCAGGTTTGGAGAACACCTCCATTCCTCCATCATACTACTTTTTATACAGGAGTCCCAATATTGAGCCATACTTTTTTATTAGGACAACATACGTGCTATAGCCCTTTGTCCTTGCAACATGATCTTACAGGTGAATACGTTTTTGCTAGACTGCATGTCCATATCCCATGTTGGTAGCTACATCTAGGCTGTGGCGGTACTTGCGGTGTAAACACTTTATTAGTACACTAATTCTAGTACAGAAAATGCCTGTCCTGATATATAATACACCAAAGAGTCTTCTACAGATCATAAAAAATTAAATACCCAAGAACAAACTTGTTACACATGAACTGGATCCATCAGCGGCCACATTAGTGTGGCATATGTTAGATTATAAACTTTCACAAGCACACATTTTGCTGTTTGGAACTTAATAATGTTAACAATGTACCAGTATATTTACTGTACAGCCTACTGCTGACTGCTATGAAAGGCATGATGGAAATAAAATATATAATTTTACTCTTATTCAGAATCATGTTACCTTGGACTATTCCATAGATCTCCTCTGCTATTCTGGCAGCTTCCTTCCGATTGCCTCGCACAATGTAAAAATGCGTGAGCAGAGCCAAGGACACCTTGATTAAAAGTTTAAAACAGAACAGGGCAAATATTGCCACATAGATATTAGTGAGAGCCAGAAGGATAGAGCTGGCCTCCATTGTAGCAAACGGTCCAGCTAAACAGCTTGTAGTGTAGCAGTCTATTTTTGGCATCTCTGAAAGTCTATTTTAGAACTTTCCACTGTCTGTTGACGACACATAACAGATCTCTCTGTGCAATAAAGGGGAAACTAAATGTAAAGGAACGGGATTAGATCGGGCTAAATCACCATCTGTGCTGGGGCCCCAAGTGTCAATCTATTGTTCTGGGGTCCCCAAAAACACATGATTTAAAAAATGGAATAGGATATTAAGTTTTATTGCTGCACCAGCAGTGTTAAAGTCCAACTCTAAGGAAAACTTTTTTTGTTAATGTGGGGCAGGGTAAGGGGGGAGGTGGCATTGCAACTTCTGTGGATTCCACACAATGCCTGACCTGTAAGTATCAAAAGAGATCACTAGTAAAGTAGGTCTATTTAATATATTTTTTAAAATTATTTTAATTTATGTATTTGACAATATTCAAGGTATTCAGGCAGAACTCCTGGCAAACAGCTAGACACAATTAAAATACATATTTGGAAACTGTTACCTGCTACAAGATCTGTAATTGTGTTCAGATGGACTTGTGATGTGGGCGCCCCTAGATAAAAACTCATTCCTGGGCTCCCCTATTCTTCTTGTAGATGTTGTGATGCAGTTGTATAATGCAATATGGTCCAAGGCCCACCTCAGCCACTGTTTGGACAATGAGGTAGCAGGACATTGATGAGGTTATCACTGTGCTCTCTCCTCCAAATACTGTCATACTGTTTCTCCTAGTACTGTTTAATGCAGTTGTTTCTGATTGGCTGCCATATCATATCAGCTGCTGCCAAGCCAGAAGATTTCCCATCATAGCTCAATGCAAATTTCAAGCTGCAGAGATTTTAGTCCACCATTCAGATTTCTGTCACCAAGCCCTGATGAAGGGGGTGTTTTTGGACACCCAAAACGCACTGACTAGTCTACTCGTTTGCCCCTTGACCCTGGTGGAATAAAGTTGTATATGGACTGATTTAATTGGTGTGGCACTTCAATGTCTACATCTGCTGTGTTCACTGTTAAGCCAAGGATACTGTGGAGACCATTAGGCCAGTGATAGCTGCCTATCCATTAGCCAGATTACACATATTTACATCATTTAACCACTAGTGGATGAAAAGAAAGTAAAACAGAACAGTCACACAGGTCCAGCACTCTGTTTCCACTTCCAAATAAGTGTCCGATTGGCTGGCAATGGTCACCCTCCCTCTTCCAGTTCCGGATTGTTGCAGTACAAGGGATTGCAGAAGGATTTAGGTATTTTGACCAGATGTACATGTATAGTTTCTTGCTTTACAGCTGAAGTAAATGGGCCAAAGATTGGTTTGTTAGGTGTTTGCTAGATGTTTGTTTGGAGCAGGATTGTACATAGGAAACTACGGGCAGCTTCTAGTGGCTAGAATAGTGTGCAGATAAAGGACTGACTAAGGGCAGTTTTATCAAAATTTCATTAACATACAATGAAGGGAATTTATCAAAACTGGAGCAGCTGTGCATGGCAACCATCCAGGTTCTCTCTTTCATTTTCAAACCTTATTTGAACAAACTGAAGAGATATGCTGATTGGTTGCCATGCACAGCTGCTCCAGATTTTCTCTGCTCCCGTTTTGATAAATTCCTCCCATTGTCCCCCCCATCGCATGGTTCTTCTCTTACCTATCTAAGCGCTCCTTTAGTGTCAACTACAAATCTAATTCCTCCCCTCCTCTTCCTCTTTCTGTAGGGGTCCCCCAAGGCTCTGTCCTTGGACCCCTTCTCTTCTCTATCTACACCTTCTCTCTTGGTCAGTTAATAACCTCACATGGCTTCCAATACCATCTCTATGCCGATGACACTCAAATCTATCCGTCTACTCTGCAACTCTCCCCCTCAGTGTCCTTGCGTGTCACTAATCTACTAACTGACATATCTATCTGGATGTCGCAACACTTCTTAAAACGCAACCTTTCGAAAACTGAGCTCATGATATTTCCTCCCCAGTGTGCACCTTCCCCCAACTTTTCCCTTGAGATTGATAAACACAACTATCCAACCCTCCCCCATGCCAAGGTCCTAGGTGTCATCCTTGACTCAGACTTCACCTTTCTTCAACACATCCAATCACTATCCAAATCCTGGCGCCTTCACCTTCGTAACATCTCCAGAATACGCCCCTTCCTCACCAAGGAAACCGATAAATTACTCATTCACTCCCTTGTTATCTCTCGTCTGGACTATTGCAATTCCCTCCTCATTGGCCTTCCACTACACAGGATATCCCCCCTTCAGTCTATCATGAATGCAGCTGCTAGACTTATTCACCTAACCAACCGCTCAGTGTCTGGAACCCCCCTCTGCCAATCCCTGCACTGGCTTCCTATAGCCCAAAGGATAAAAATCAAAATATTAACAACCGCTTACAAAGCCATCCACAACTCTGGCCCCGGCTATATCTCCAACCTGGTCTCAAAGTATCACCCTAACCGTCCACTCCGCTCTTTACAAGACCTCCTGCTTTCCAGCTCCCTCATCAACTCCTCCCATTCTCGTCTCCAGGACTTCACTAGAGTCTCTCCCATCCTATGGAACTCTCTACCCCAACCTGTCCGTCTATCTCCCACACTGACAGCCTTTATGCGATCCCTTAAGACTCATCTCTTCAGGGAAGCCTATCCCACCTCAACCTAATCACTGAACTATCACTTTCTCAAACAATCATCCCCGCACAGCTACCTCCTCATGTATCACTTGCTCCTCCCTTTTAGATTGTGGGCCCTCCTTACCATCTGCTGTGCAAACTATTGGCGCTATATAAATCCTGTATAATAATAATAATTGTCTTCAGGTCTTTAACCCTTTGTTAGGACAGACAGTCCTGCTCAACATGTTACAAATGATAAATCTGCAAGTGTAATACAGATGGGGCTAATTATTTGAAAGTGAAAGCTAAGCAGGATTTTTTCGGTCCTAGAGTTTCCAGAAAGAACATCTAATAAGGTAGGCTTTCTTAATTATCCTATGTGAATGGGAGCATGTGACAAATGTCAATTAGGTGTTATCCCAATTTGACTTGAAGAAGAACTCTAGAAAAAAAAACCATTAGCCCTTGCAGTGGGAGCTGCAAGGGTTAAGTGCTCATTTATGTCTAGGTGCTATAAAAAAAAAAAAAAAAAAGAAGGTTATACTCACCAGTGACCAGACCATTCAAGCCGGCTTGTTCTTGGACCAATGTCTAGAACATCTCTCCCCCTCTGCCGCAGCAGTCAAAGGATCCAGATGTCATCACACTCTATACACTGTGCAGAGACTGTATACAGATGTGAGGATGATGGGGATCAGTCCATTTGCGCAGTGGAGGAGACACACTTCAGTGATCACAGAAGCAGGGAGCCGGCTCGGATTGTCTGATGAGCATAACTTTTTTGTACTAACCCTTGCAGTGCAGGGATTGGCCCACTGCAAGGGTTAATAAAAATGTTTTCCTGGAGTTCTTCTTTAAGGCAAGGGTTGGACTGCTTATTTATCTCAGTACAATTTGTTTTTTTATCTTCCAGTCAGCTTTCTCTAGTGGTATCATGGAGCAGCTCCTACAGGAACAGAGGATATAAACAGCTTCCAGGATGGAAGTCCCATGTGACACAAACTGTTTTGTAGCAGCGATTTGTGGCAGCTACATAATCATTCTTCATTTTAGTTTCAAGAAAAAAGCGCTTGCAGTCAGTGAAAGGTTTGTGTCACATAAATCCAAAGTATCTACTCATATCTGAAGCAGTAGCTGATGCTCGTGGCAATTTGTAGGTGCCTAGATAAGTATTGTTGTCCATTACAAAATCAACAGATAAAACAAGCAGAGAGATTTGTAGCTGCTACAAAGTTGCTAGTGTGACAAGGCTCTAAAGCTGGCCATACACAATGCGAATTTCAGCTGGTTTTCAGGATCCAGTCGAAAATTCACACAGCGGGTGCCGCTGTCAGTACCGTTTTGGCCAGCATCCCTCGATCAGCTGATTGAAAGAGCTGCTTGGAAAATCTTCAAAATGGACAGAGCTGGCTGCTGGCTCTATTTTGTTATTCTGACAGCAGCCAACAGCTGCTGTCAGAATACAATACAAACAACGGGGATTCCTCGATCAACGCTTGTAAGCATTAATGGAGTAATCTGTTCAGTTTTTTTCGTTCGGCCCTTAGGTTGAACAAAAGCTAAGAGTCTCCTTTCACAGCTCCCTATAATCTTGATAGCAGTATGTAAACTGTATAAATTAACTTGACTTTCAGAAGTCAGATGTGCAGATCTGCAGGGTGTGCCTGGATACAAAAGACATCATCCTTCCTGTCCTGATTTGTTTTAATTAATATTTGTCTACTGGCCAACAGCTTATTTTCATAACATAGTACACATGCTTACCCCTACCCAATCCCTGGAACCTCTCTTGGGGCACCAGAGGTGTGAAAGGGTCTGCTCAACAGAAGGCCAGTGTATTAATTCTGGGGGTGGGGGTGAACGTTCCGAGCTTTATCCTCGAAGCCACCCTTTGAGCAGTCATCCAGACCAGTCACCAGAATGCCTGGGATGCATTAAGAATAGTTCTAGTAGTTTAGAGCCCGGGTAATTTGCCTGTAGAAGTGGGTCAAGTTAAATGCCAGCAGATTTGTTTGGTCATCTCTAGAAGTGACCAAAAAACAAGGTGGAAGTATATATGGCAGGAATGAGGTTCTTTGGGTTTGCTCACTTTATTGTGATTATCTAAAAACCTGATGCTCCGTAGCTGGTCAGAAATCAGTTTACAAATTTGATGGCCTTTATTCAATCTGGCCATGGTTGCACCCAGAACCTGCTGACCTCTGCTGGCATCCCCAAACGGACATATCTTGAAGGAAGAGAAAAAAAACATTTAACAAAATTGGTTGGGCTTCATGGACAGTTTGTTATTGCTCTCCTAAGATTATGGTGGCCAAAACTCTGTAAAGTCTGTGTGGCTCTTCAACCAGCAGCTTCA